AAAAATTTCTTGCGTCACGCCACGCTGCCAGTCCCGACCCGCACTTGAGGTTCGCACCTTTTACTGCTCCTACCACCCAGGCGTGATTCGTCCAACCACCATCAGTGGAATGTGAGTGCCTGTTGCGTGCTCTGATTCGCCCTTCAGGGCTCCTTCACCTTCCCCCTGCTCCTGAAGGGGCAATTGGGGCCAGCAGCCGCCTCTCGCACCCACTACCAGCGACAACCCTGATGGCACTCACAGCTAGCGCTGGAGCCGCCACTTGCACCCGCTTTTGGCCCCCAGCGCCAGTCCCGATCTCTTGGCGTCATCAGTGGGTTCAAGCAGCGGCGGCTGGCCTTGATCGTACCTGAGGGGCAATTGAGGCCATCAGCGGGTGCGAGTGGGGCCAGCACCATCAGCACATGAGAGCGACGACAGTGGGACCGGGGTCTGCGGCAGGAGGAGCTGTGCTGGGGTTCAGAGGATGGGCTAAAACCTGCCCGTGCCCACCGCAGCCTTGCGGCCCACAGTTCCTTTCAAGGTGCACAAAATTAGTGTACTGGGACCCTAGTAGTTAATAATACTGTATTTCATATCTAAAAATTGTTAAGAGTAAATCGTAACAGTACTCATCACAAGAAAAATTTTTATAATTTGTATGGTGAAGAATGTTAAATACGTAACTTATTGTGATCATTTCACAATGTATACAAGTACTGAATCATTTGTTGTATACCTAACACTAATATGTTAATTAAAATAAAAAAAGATGAAGAACTTAAAGGGAATGACCATAATCTGAAGCATACAAGTAACTCATATTTGTGTACCTGAATCTAAAAAGAAAAGTAAGCTTTCAAATAAATACGTAATATTTTTGGAAAAGTTTAATAGAAAAATATGAAATGTCACTCCTCCTAAAATTGAAATTAATTACTATCATTAGCCAAAAATAAAAACAGGGCTTTTCTCTGCTGATAGAGCTCTTGCAAACATGGTGAACGTTCCTAAAACCCACCGAACTTTCTATAAGAAGTGTGGCAAGCATCAACCCCACAAAGTAACATAGTACAAGGGCAAGGATTCTCTGTATGCACAGGGAAAGCGACGACATTATGACAGGAAGCAGAGTGGCAATGGCGGACAGACTAAGCCAATTTTTTGAAAAAAGGCTAAAACTATAAAGAAGATTGTGCTGAGGCTTGAATGCATTGAGACTAACTGCAGATCTAAGAGAATGCTGGCTATTAAGACATGCAAGCATTTTGAACTGGGAGGAGATAAGATGAAGGGTCAAGTGATCTAGTTCTAAGCTTCATATTTTGTTTTATTATATGACAATAAAATCTTGATATGTTCCTAAATTAATTAATTAATTAATTAATTAAAAAGGCACTTACAATGAAAAAATACCAAACAGGTATGTTATAACCATTCAACTTTTAAAGCAAAAGATACAAATTTAAAAGATTTATATATAGTTCACAATTAAAAGTGTTTCTCCCTAATTTAAAATATTGACATATATGCAATCAATTCATAGCTTTTACATTTCCTAAATCTGGGGATAACAGCTACCTCCAGGAATGTAGTTTTGAATAAATGAAATTATACATATAAATTTTTTTTCATTGATGTTTAAGAACACAAGCAAAAAAGTCAGAGGCTAAAGAATGGTACTATTAAAAATAGGTATAAAAAGACATTTTTAGGTGGTCTCAGGCTTACAGTATTTTCCAAGCACACCACAAAATTGTTTAACAGTATACCTACACAGAAGCATTAGCAAAAGAACTAAAAGATACTATCTTGAAAGCAAGTGTTGAGAAAAAAAACTGTGGCACAACAATATAATTATTCATTTCCTAAAGAAAGTCAAGCAATTATGAATATTCTATCTTTCTGACACTGTTAAGGAAGGTACAAGAAAAAAGTATTATTATTATTTTTTATTGATTTCAAAGAGAAAGGGAGAGGGTGACATAGAAACATCAATGATGAGAGAGAATCATTGATCAGATGCCTCCTGCACGCCCCACACTGTGGATCAAGCCCACAACCTGGGCATGTGCCCTTGACTGGAATCAAGCCCAGGACCCTTCGGTCTGCAGGCTGACGCTCTATCCACTGAGCCAAACTAGCTAGGGCAAGAAAAAAGTATTTTAAACTACATTAGTTTTGTAGTAAAAAACAATTATATATTTGTACATAAGAGTAATCTCTAATGTAATGCTTAACTAAAAGTTTACCAGGCTAATTACTATGCACCTACAAATTTCATTTTCCTTCTAATTGTGATGGGCAGAATCAAATCCTTGATATACATTGGATTCCCATTAGGTCCCATCAAAATCAGTTTTCAATATAAATCATTCACAAACCATTTTTCAACATTGTGCATGGAAAAAGTTAGTAAATATTTAATACAGAAATAAGAATATAACAGGCTAAATTACAATGAAATAAATATCTTCCAGAGGTACTTACTGTGCCTGATGTACCTAAAAAGAAAAAAGAATATTTATAATGTAATAAATCATGCTATCCTTAACAGTTGAAAAATACTTAATATTATTTCTGCCAAGTCATTCCATCATACTAAATATCCTAATACTGTCCCATATAACCTATGGTTATGTACTTGCTATTTCCAGGAAATAAACATCTATAGTGCAACGATTTTCAGAATCAAGTGGCACATTGAACTTTCAATCTGCAAACTCAAAGCTGGTTTGAGAAGTATTCATACATATGCCTTTTGTTTCTCTTGTTCTTGCTATTATTAGGTGTTCTCTTTCTCTGCTATACTACTAAAGTACTTGAAAAATACCTCTCTAATCCTATGCTTTAGATTTCTAGCAAGTTCAACTATCTAGGGTCCACTGAGAACAATTAAAAGAGGTCACTATGACATCAATGGTAGAGCCAAGGTATTAAAAATAAATGTTAAGTAATTTTCCAGGATTATTTAGGGTAATAGTAATTAGCTCCAGATATCTATATACATTAAAATATTACATGAGTTATTTCAGAACATCGTTTCAGCTTAAATCATGATATTTGTGCAACATCTTAAAAACATCAATTATGTCCCCTAGAAACCTGTAGGAAAGCACACTGTGCATTTAAATATGTTGTGAACCATGTTTAAAACAAAAGTTTAGGCATAATCACGGGACAAAGTTTAGCATGTGAAATACTAATTTATGTGGAACATCATTTACTCATGGATAAATGAAGAGTTGCTATTACATATTATAACCACACTAGTCAAAACAAATACTTATTGGTAACTGGCTGAAGAAAAATATTATCATAGGACTTACAAATTGCAGTGACTACAAGGACCAAGCAAGGTAACAAAAAAAATAACTAAGTATTCCAGAGGCCAATAAGAATGCATGTTCCACATGAAGTGCTACCCATTCTACAATGTTTGCTGATACAATTATGAGCTCACCAGAGTTGTTCATTCGATACTCTGAGACCACTGTAAACAATAAATATTCAGATCATCCAATTTTTTCAGAGAAATAAAAATCTTTGGGCAAAAAGATAAATTCAAACTTTATGTAAAGTCAACAGACTTTAAATGTTAGCAACTAATTACAGAATTTAAAAACACTGTGTAGGCCAAAGTATATCCATAGACCAAATTTGGTTCCAGTACTCTTGATCTAAAATTATAGTTTCTTATGGATTCAATTATGAATGTTATTCCTATTTCCCACTGCCTTAAAAAAAGAAAAAGACAAAAATCAGGAGCTGATTATAAATCACAGGAGATATTGCCTTCATTCCTCATTATAATATGGTAGCTACTATTCAAAGGAAGTGTAACATACACCACCATAAACGGTATGCATACCTGCTGTCATATCCATATTATTTACTCCTGGCTGTAAGAAGAAAGAGAAAATTAATAATATGCACCTTGTTTAAACTGTATTTTACATAAGTCACTCATAAAGAATAATCAGTTCCCTCTATGTATAATTCTCAAGCCACTGACTCAAAGATTTTTTGTTAATTTTAGTGGTCTCAGTTCCCTGAACTTGATATAAATTATAAAAAACATCAGGAACCTGTACTTTAATCTAAGTGTTACATTTATATGACCATCAATTATATACAGATCAACAACTCTTCAGTCACAACTCTGAAATCCAAAAAGCTCTGAAAACCAATTCATGTTTGACATCAAAACTCATTAAAGTAGCAAAACCTGACCTGAATGAAATGAACTATTTAGTCTTTATTTGCCCCACGTCAGAGTAAATATCCATGTTTCCCTATGGAAATACTGTGCTAGAAATTATAGGGCACTGCCCAAGACCCCATAGGAATTTTTAACATAATATATAGTATATATAACTTATTACTCTATAATATTAAAAAAAATCTGAAATATATCTGGTCCTAGGGGTTTTGTATAAGATACTACAAACTTAGCACTCCAATGGAGTATGCCACATCTGTTCATTACAACCACTAGGCTATCACGTAATAAAGAAGTTATACAAATTTGAATATCATAATGATTTATATATTGCTATACTACCCAGTGTTCATAGTTTTGATAAGTAATGTGCCACAGCTGAAGTCTCAAAAAGTAATGGATTTCAAATGTAATCTTTTGATTTCTAAATCTAGAATCTAGTATTAAATCACATTATTTCAATTGGTACTCAGTAAAGCACGTCTACTCTTTAATATATTATAATGCTAGCAGACCAATAAAATATTTCTAGTTGACAAATTTGCTTTTTAGTATTCCAGTCTTATCTAATGTGTACAATCAATTTAATAAATAAAAATATTCATATACTATAATATAAAGGGAAAAATGGAACTGCTTATTCAGGAAGCTAAAAATAAAACTCCACTATAATTCCAATGTTACATTACAGTACTCCAGAGGCACTTAAAAAGCTAACAATTGCCTATCAAATACATATATATTATCTATACATATAAAAGTTTAAAATGCTAAGTGTCCGACCAGTTGCTATGATGCACATTGACCACCAGGGGGCATATGGTCAATGCAGGAGCTGCTGAGCTGCAATGACTTGGTAGCGGCAGTTCTTGGGTGACGCCCCTGAAACCAGAGAGGAGGGAGTCCAATTCCTTGCAGGGCCGCGCATTTCTACCTTCAACTGTGGGTTATGTTGTTGTTGGGGCACTGTCAGCCCCGAATCTGGTTTACTGCACACTTGCATTTGTGCTCCATACCCTGTATGACAGCAACTTTGCAGAGTGCCCTCTCGCACTCTGGGACCCCTCAGGGGATGTTGGAGAGCCAGTTTTGGCCCGATCCCCACAGGCCAGGCCGAGGGACTCCACCTGCCGGAGGGACCCTATAGATGCCAGGGAAGGACCACGGGAGGTTGGCTCCAGGGTGTGTCCAGCCCGTCTCACCTTGTCCCGCCCCGCCCCGCCCCACTGGCCACCTTCTAATTAATTTCCTTTCAATGTGCAGGAATTTGTGCACCGGGTCACTAGTTTAATGCATAAAAGTAATCAAAACATCACAGGAAATAGTTATTTTTACAAGATTACCGGTAAGGCAGGCTGCATGGAAGCCTGAGACATATGAGACATCATCATTCCAGGCATTACTGAAGACATCATTCCAGGCATCTAGAACAAAAGTAAAAAAAAAAAAAAAAAAGGTTACTGCATAAGACCAAAGCCCTTAATATGACTTGAAGAATCTATGTACAACTTAAGATTAAAATCCAGTGAGCACTATATTATATAGGTAATATGCTTAGTAAGTGCTTGTTGAATGAATGAAGTACTTCATCAATGATCTATTTTAATACTTATTTGATAATTACTATGTATAGTCAAAATTATTTTAACAAACTTAAAAGTTTAGGCAATTATGTTATTTGTAATCTAAATTTAAGAATATTAATTTCCTTTCAATTTTAGCTCAACACTCATGCTATTCTCCCTTTTTTGGAGCAAGACAAAAACTTTTTTTCCCCACAGTATTTCTCACCTTTGAATTTTAGTATCTAAATTAAATAATTTTATAGCAATCTGGTTCTTTTAGATCAAAGGTGTTTAAAATTCAGTGGTTTTTAAAATTACATAAAAATCTAACTTCTCGAATACAAATCATTTATAACCTCACTAGTAAAAAAAAAATTAAGTATATACATAAATATCTGAAGAAAAAAATATTAGTTTGGAAGCTTAATCTAGTATACCAATAACTGCCATCCAAATTTACAAGTTAATCTTTCCTACTAAGCATGAATAAAGATGATGAAGAATAACAGATTTTCAAAGGATTCCGACCTATGCTCATGTATATTAGTATAATTCCACATTATAATTTTGATTTTACTATGAACAAATCTAAAGAAAACATGGAAGGTGATAAAAATTATATACAATCATAGGTACTTAAATAAATAACCAATTATTCAAAAATTTCAAATTAAATGAACAATTTGAGAAATAAGAACCAAAAGAAATGAACATATTAGTCAATAGGAACATATACATGTAAAGTTACTGAAGATAGACGAGACCACCCACACACTGAATTTTATTACTTGTGAAAGTCAAGTCATCAAGCAAAACCAGGCTAAAGTACAATTAAAATGAAGTAGAATGGTATTTATGGGTTAAAGGGAAAGTTTTTTGCTTCTCAAAACATTAAATAAACTGTTTAAACATCACTGAACAAGGACTTAACAGAAAACATGTGACTAAAACTTGAAATAAACATTCAAATAATTCTTTAAAAAAAAGGTGCAGAATTTGAAAATCGAAATAACAAGCCTCCAGCACCCACACTAACAGAATAACAAAAATAATTTGCACATTAAGAGAAATAATAAAAGAGATCAAATGAGAACTAGGCTTGTTCCCTCTACTCCCCAACCCCTACAGACACACCCTCACATTAATTTTTCATTAGGCTAATAGCAAAGTAGGTTTGAATTCTGTAAGTACTAAGTTACTGATTATGGTGAACCTGCTGTTTAAAATGGTCTGTTTATAAAATCAAAAACTAGTAAAACACCAGTAACTAGAATTCTAAGCTGAATTGAGGAACTGAAGCTTGGAAACTTAACAGAAAAACAAAATCTCTATCATGCAACGATTTCCACATGGTAGCACAAATGAATGTAATTTCAAACTGAAATACTCTGACACACAAGTAATCAAATCCCATTTAAAAAACAAAGCACAAAAGTTTAGAGACATGGCCAATGACACAACAGATAGTATATGAGAATCATTAAAGAACAGTTTGCCCTTGGCAAGGTAGTTCAATTGGTTGGAGCATCGTCCTGTACACCAAAAGGTTGCATGGGTTCAATCCTCGGTCAGGGCACAAACCTAGGTTTCGGGTTGGATCCCAGGTCAAGGTGTCTAGGAGAGGCAACCAATAGATGTTTTTCCTCTCACATAGATGTCTCTCTCTCTCTCTCTCTCCCACCCTTCCTCTCTCTATAATTTAAAAAGGTGACAGAATTTTCTCAATTGTTCTTCCCAAACTTCCAATTTTAAAACATCCAAAAATTTACCTTTAAGACTAGAACTCATGATGTTGGTTACAGAATGAGATTTAATTTCAAATAAAAAGATAAATTCTCACTCAGTACCTCTGTAAATTCTTAGGAGCAGCAACTAGTTAAGCTTGTTCAGCCCAACATTTGGAAGATTCTTAAACTATTCCAAAATTAAATAGATCATTAATATAATTTTAAACCAAAACTGTGATGCTATTCACATGAAGCCAAAGAACAAAAACATAAATATGCAAAATACGATGTTTCTTATGAAAAGCTATTACAAGAGTTTGACAAAATAACAGCTCTTCCAGAGGCTTGAGTATCACAAACAAGCCTGATTCCCAAAGCCTGAAGAATCCACTTTGTGGAAATGTTATTTGTTTTTCATTAATTCTACAACACACGTAACATGGACATGCATGTCTAACTGAAGTTGAATCTTTCAGAGGATTTGTGCTGACTTGGGCCAATAACTTGGCAGCAACATAAATTTGAGACTATTGATCTTTTTCTAAATTATTTTATTTGTTTTAATACCACACTGATAATGGAAATCTAGGCTGCATTATCAGTGTGGTTCCAATCCCCAAAAGTGATTTTCTTTCCTCTGCCTAAGTTTGAGACAGCTAAGCTACTTTGCTGTCCCCTTTTTGATGATAGGTTTCTTTCTTGTTTCACATGAATAGAATAGCTCTTTGGTGTCCCAGCTTTATTTGTTGAATATTTTAGACTTCTCACTTTAGGCTTATTTATTCTCTCTCTTAGGGCACCATAATACAATGGAGTGTCTTATGATTGATGGCACTGTAACTTCAATGAAATGGGATATTGGCTCAAAATGGTTAAAGAAAAAATTCTTAACCTAGTTGCCACAATACTACAACAAATTCCATCAGCCAGATCATTCAAGTTACAAAGTCGTAGTTCATGTAAGCTTTGTGTGAAGCACATTATAAAATCACAACCATGTAGCACTTCACAAATTTCCATTTAAGCTACTGAGGCAAATACATTAAGTGCTATAATTAAGAATTGGATCAGAGAGAACCGAAGTGTGAAAGACATGTATTAACTCAAATTTGATTTTTAAAAACCATTCTATAGTTGCAAATTGATTTAAAAAGTTTGATTTTTGCTTTTTTACTTGGTTCCCTTTAAATGTGCCAAATTCAAACTCCACAATATTAGTACACTCTACAGAGGCTATTAAGTGTACTATTTATATATATATTTTTCCTTTTTACTGAAAATACTGGGGTGACATTGATTAAAAATTATACAGGTTTCAGGTGCACAATTCTACAACGCATCATCTGTACACTGTATTATAAGTTCACCACTCTAAGTCAAGTCTCCTTCCATCACCATTTATTCCCCCCTGTACCGTCCTCCATATCCTCTCCCTCATCCTCCCTTCACAATCACCACACTGCTGTCAGTGAAGTTTCTTTTGCTCAATCCCTCCACTGCCCGGCCAGCCCTCCAATCCTGACTCCCCTGACAACTGTCAGCATGTTCCCTATGAGAATGTCTCTACTTTGCTTGTTAGTTCATATTGTTCATCAGATTCCACATATGAATGTAATCATACGGTACTTATCTTTTAGATAAATTCCAAGTAGAAATCGCTGGATCACAATGCAATTACATTTTTAATTTTTTGAGATAACTCCGCACTGCTTTCCATAGTGGCTGCACCAATCTACTTTCCAGCCAGCAGTGCATGAGGGTTCCCTTTTCTCCACATCCTCACCAACACTTGCTGTTTATTGATTTATTCATGATAGCCATTCTGACAGTTGAGATGGTATCTCGTGGTTTTAACTTGCATTTCTCTGATGATTAATGACTTTTCATGTCTCTATGTCCTCTTTGGAAAAGTGTCTTTTGCCCATTTTTTAATTGGATTGCTTGGTTTTTTTGTGTTTAAGTGTACTATTTAAAAACAACTTACATCTATATCACTAACTCACTTTATGAACAAATGTATGAATGAATAAAAAAATAATCTTTGAATAACTGCAAAACTACATTTTGTAATTTAATTAAATAATCATTCAACTGGAAATAAACAAAAATACTCCTAAAGAATATCCCTTTTTCAAGCTGCATCTTTCTTTTTTTAAAATTGATTTGAGAGAAAGAGAAAGATATCGATTTGTTGTTCTGTTTACTTATGCATTTATTGGTTGATTCTTGTGTGTGCCCTGACCTGGGATCAAACTCGAAACCTTAGCATATAAAGATAACACTCTAACCAACTAAGCTACCTGGCTAGGGCCTGCAGCACATCCTTAACCAAAGTAAGTGGCTGCATTTTGAAACAATCATTTAACCTTACTTCCTTTCCGTTCATCTACAATTATATATAAATTTAAGACACTTGTCGTTTTCTGATATAAGAATCAATGATAAACAAAAAAAGACAAAAAAATATTTGCACAAACTATTACCACATGAAATAGAATTTTACCATTTAATAAGTCAGTTGCCAATATTCAAAATTTAGTTTGCTAGATTTTAACATGGAGAGTTTAGAATTGACTAAGTCCAGCTGACCCTTGAACAGGTGGGTTAGGAATGCCGATTTCCTGGGCAGTTGAATATCCAAGTATAACTTGTGACTTCCCCAAAAATAACTACTAATAACCTACTATTGATCAGAGCCTTAATAACATGGTCTACTAACAAATATTATGTTATATGTATTTTACATGGTATTCTTACAATAAAGTAAGCTAGAGAAAATGTTATTTTAAAAAACCGTAAGAAAAACACATTTACAGTATTTGTTGGAAAAAAATCCCCATCTAAGTGGACTTGTGTAGTTCAAATCTGCGTTGCTCAAGGGTCAACTGTATATTCTTTCCTTTCAAATTCCAAAGAGGTTAGTTAGCTTAATGACAATCTCACACCGCTATACAGGGAAGCAGCCTAGTAAGCTATTTTGTCCTTACACTCTGGAGTCAGACTGTCAGCATTCCTATACCAGCTTGGCCACTTACCAACTGTGCAATCTTGGGCTAACTTACTTAACCTAGCTGGGTCTCAATATCCTCACCTGTAACATGGAGAAAAATTTACTCATATGATAGTACTGTT